TTTTTTTGAAGGGCGATGGCCTTGCGGTATTATCATCGGACTAATCAGCCCAGGTAAATTCAATCTTGTGTCTAATAATGGTGGCCTTTTCAGCCCAGGGTGGCCTGATAGCCTTCAGGGAACCCCCAACCGGGGGCACCGGCCAGGGGACAGCCGGTGGCAGAGGGACCGAGCATCATCTGAGTGGCCAGTCGCTGTGCCTCCCCAATTATCTGTTCCCCCCTCCTAATTTTGTTGCATCCGTCAGGATATAAACTCAAGACCTGTTTCGTAACAGCGACATGTGTGTATCATTCTATCAAGCAGGAAGGGTTCAGCTCGGTCACTCGTCAGGGAGTGGACTGAACACTTTGTTTGACCGCCGCACTATCTTCTCCCGAAATTTTTTTCTCTCCGTCAGAATATAATTTCAACATCTGTTTCTTACTTAATTACTTACCAGTTCACGTGAGCGTAGTGGTTCGCTCCATCGTCGTCAGGGAGAAGACTCGACCTTTCTTTGACTGTAGGACTATTTCGACTGAGCGCGGCAGTTTCTATTCGCTGACAAGCGGCGGAGACGGATGTGCGCGAAGGTGACCATATATTTTCGGAGGCGGGAATTTCCGGAAAGGTTGGCTTTTTCGTGATCTCTGTTGTAAGGTTTGGGCGGGGTCCCCCAAAAAGAATAAAAAAAAGAAAAGATTTGGGCGGGGGAAGATCAGCTTACATCCGCTTGCTAGCGCGCGCTTTCTAGGGCGCGAACCTTCTGCCGGTACTCAAAGGAGACACGGACGGCTGTGATCGAGCTGTCGATTGACCGACGGCGCGCTTCTCAACGTTCATCTCTGCGTCGTCTACTGGTTTGTTGTCGTCAACATACGGCCGCAGTGAACTGTCAGAACAACGAGAGAGGAAATACTACATCGACGTTCCTCTCCTCCGTTGACTTTTCCCCCGGGAACAACAAGAGAGGAAGTACTACAGCGGGCGTAGAGGACGTGGCGAAGCGCGCCGCTATGGCGATGAACGGTCACGATTCGTTTTCATCCATGGCGGACACGTTGCATGGGGTCGAGGCGCGTGCCGCTGCTAACGGCGCCTTGACCAGCGAAGGGACGCAGTGCGCTGCTGATAAACCCAGAGGAGGCGAATACTTCGGCTTTCCCGAGGGAAAAGTCAACGGAGGAGAGAATCTGAGAGAGGCTGACCGAGTCAGCGACGAAGGCTTCGCGAGGAAGAAAAGGAGAAGCGGAGGGAAGTCAGTACGCGCCGAGCGCTTCGAGCGCTTCGATCCCTCTACGCCACGTGTCACGCGCAAGGGTCGACGACGGGGTACGAAGAAAGATGGTTTGGCGGGATTTGGCGGTTTTGTGAGGGAAACGATTTGTTGCAGCGGGCGGAACAAGACCATCGAGGATGGAGGGGAAGGGAGGAGGAGGAGCGGGCCCTTGGCAGGAGTAGAGCAACGGAGGAGGAGCAGGTCTTGGGCAAGAGCAGAACAAGAGAAAGAGGTGGTGTATACGAGCATCAGGGAGATGGCCGGACCAGGAGTAAGAGAAGAAGAAGAAGAAGAAGAAGAGGTTCACGTCACAGAGGAGGAGGAGGTGCTTGCCCATGACAAGAAGCCTGTGGAAGAGCGTCTTCTCTATCCGACTAAATTCTCGATAACCGACGAGGAGCTTGCCCTTGCCAAGTTGGCCGTGGAGGAGCGTCTGTTTTATAGCAATAGCAATAGCGAGTTCTCGAGCAGGGAGGATAGAATTTGGATTGACGTCCCGATTATGGAGAAGGCTGTCAAATTGGAACAGAAGAAGTTGTTCTTACCAGAAGAAAAAGAAGAAGAAGAAGAAGAAGAGGTTCACGTCACGGAGGAGGAGGAGGAGCTCGCCCATGTCAAGAAGCCTGTGGAAGAGCGTCTTCTCTATCCGACTAAATTCTCGATAAGCGAGGAGGAGCTTGCCTTTGCAAAGATGGCCGTGGAGGAGCGTCTGTTTTATAGCAATAGCCATAGCAAGTTCTCGAGCAGGGAGGATAGAATTTGGATTGACGTCCCGATTATGGAGAAGGCTATCAAGTTGGAAGAGAGGAAGCTGTTCTTACCAGTCCCGCCTTATGTGGGGGGGGGGGRGGGGGCCGCGGTAATGGCGGCGGAAGCACGGCGGCTTCGCGTACAAGCGCTCGAGGACGAGATCGACATAAGAGTGGAAACGTACAAGGCGGCGGAGCGGGCGATGGCGGAGGCAAGGATGGTGTTATCGCAGGTGTCAGCCATAGCTGAGGACTGTTTGGTGGACATCGAAGCGCTGAGCTTGTACCGGGTAGCAGAGGCGACACGGCAAGCACTCATCGACGCGGCGGAGAGGGAGAAGACGGCGAAGGTTAAGGCAGCGAGAGAGAAGGCGGAGATGGAGATCATTGAAGCGGAAGCGCTCAGGGAGAAGCGGATAGCTATGGCGGTCGCCGCTGCGGCGGACATCTTGAGCAGGGCGGAGGATATGGCGGACTATGATTTTGAGTTTGAGGTCAGGGAAGTCCGCTCCGTCCGTTCCATGTCTCTGAATGAGGAAACGTCGTGAGAGATGGGGAGGAACTCTGTGGAAAACGAGACGTGAGGAATCTGAACGAAGGACTGTGTCACAAGCACTGGCAGAGGTTTGGCTATGGTGGCGCTGATCCTTCCTTTGTCAATTCTCAGAACGTAACTATGCCATCGAACTTGAGTGCCGAATCGCTGCGCGGTCGTCTTCAGTCATCGTTCTTCAGATCGTATAAGTTCCGACTTCCAAAGCCCAAAGTCGAGGATCGCCATCGCCACGATTCTTCCATAAACATCTTTTCCTTTTCCTTTTTCCTGCTTTCGTTTTTTTTTTTTTAATATCTACTTAATGATCGATGGCCATAAAAGGTTGGTTCATAACGGGCATCCCATTGGGGTTCGAGAACCATCATTTTGGCAATTGCTCGTGAGCTTGAAAGCCCAATCGCTAAGTGCGGTGATGTATACGATCTGAAGAACGTGGACGTCCGTCAAAGTGCTTTGATTGTTGGGGTCGGGACTTGGCTGCCTGTAGCTTAGAACGCCGCTGAAGTCCGTCCGGCGTCCCTGTGAATGAGTCTGAGCCATGTGTTTGTGGGGGTTGGGATGCATTAGGGGGTGACGTCATCGCGCAAGAAATTATCTGAGGCATGTGCCTGTCGGGGTCGGGATTTCGCGGGTAGAAAACTATCAAACGCGCACAATAGCGCGTGCATCGGTCAAATGCTTTGATTGTCGGGGTCGGGATATGTTGCGATGACGTCGTCGCGCAATGCATTGGATGGATGTCCAGATACGGATGCCGCGATGTGCTTGTCATGCAAGCTGAGGCTGCTGAGGTGTAGCGCGCAGTACGTGGTTAACGTGCCAGAGAGATTTTACGGATGCGCGACTGCAACGCGATATCCGACGGAGTTCTGGTGTGGGGGAAAAAAAAAGATCTTCGGTGACTAGATTTCTCTTCGTGCCGGCCTGCGGACTAATTAGGCGTCATGCCACGTGTTTACAGAGGTCCTCATGTGGGGTTTTGAGGACTTACAAAAGTCCTGAATCAGATCTGGAGTTAAAAAGGACCATATGTTTACAGAGTAGCGGACGACCGCAGCTCGATATCCGTCTTGGAGTGAAGTTTGATCAGTAGGAAAAGGGGAACGATAATGCGGCGTGGCGGTCCTTCGCAGACGGTCAGTGAGCGCCACAAGTCATCATGAGAGTCCCGACCTGCTGGAGTGAAAGCCGAGAGGAGGGCGGGAATCACATGGCTGCCTGTAGACGTGGCCACTTCTCTGCAGACCGGAGTCGCGTTCCCGACAGTGAAGTCGTGTCTGTGGAACTTGTTAATCTGTGGAGGAGCGAGAGATGATGTGAAGGATTTGAAATAGCCTGCCGAACGCCATATGAGCTAAAAATGTAGTCGCCGCGCCTTGTCGAACGAGTGTTTACTCATTCATTATCATTCCTACCGGTAGGTGCCCTTTTAACTACCTGCACACACACACACACACACACACACACACAGAGGGAGAGAGAGAGGATGATTATAGTTCGGTACTTATTTCCGCCCTTTCGATCGAGTAGCGAGCATTGGTGAAATAGGCAGGAGGGTGAAACCTGCCTTTGTGTGATGTAGATACAGTTGAGATTTCCACTTCAGGCACCGAAATAAATTTACGAAATAAAAGGTACGAACAGGAATAGAAAAGAGAAACGCACGTCAGACTGGGGATTTCTCTCTCCAGAGTTGTCAGGGAACTTATCGAGGTATGCAGGGACATGTCCTGTGCAGGAGTGTAGCCTGGGGATGTCTCTTCCTCCGAACGAAATGCGCTTCTGAGGACATGTACTCTCCTGTGGACTTTTTCCAATTCCCTGTGGACATAATTGCGGTCAGGTGGATCCAGGTCGACTCGGAAAAGCGGTCACATACGTCCAGGAAAGTCGTAGTCGTAGGCTCGCACTGTGAGTACTCCTATATAGGAATGCATTTTCAGAGGTTAGCAACATGTTTTCTATTCTCGGAAAGTTGGCAACGTCGTTTCCTAATGCGCTTCTGAGGATGTACTCTCATTTGGACTTTTTCCCAATTCTCTGTGGACGTAATTACGGTCAGGTGCATCCAGGTCGATTCGGGAAAGTGTTCATATTGGGCTAGAAAAGTTGTTGTGTGATATGCGTGCCTACGAATCCATTTTCTGAGGTCAGGATCATGCTTTCTATTCGAGGGAATCTCTGACAACGCTGTTTTCTTGAAGGTGGTTGCTTAACTCTATTACCTGAAGCCACGTTGACGAAGAGTTAAAAAAAAAAAAAAAAAAAAAAAAAAAAAAAAAACAGTTTTTTTTTTTGCTCGAGGGAAAATTGCCCACATTCGTCATGGACGTACGATACCACTCTCAATCCAACCTGGGGGAGCAACACCAAAAGTAAAATGCGGTGCAGCGTCCCATTTCATATTTTGAAGTATGTATCGTGAGAGTTGAATGTCTGAAGAGGCCACCATCTATTCTTAATGTAGCTGTATGTTTTTTATTTGTTTTTTTTGTTTGGCTGTTTTTTTTTGTTTTGTTTATTTGTTTGGCTGTAGGTATTCCGAGAGTCCATGAGTGGGTTGGAACTTGGAAATCAACTGTGATGGACACTGATGGTAATGTAGGGGTCTGAAATTAACCGCGGGTTGTAATGTGGGTTTTGATAAATGAACTGAGCCGGAAGTGCGGCGGAGGTCCGAGGGTGAAAAATAACTGCGATTGCCATGTGTAGTTTGGAACATGGAAAATAACGGAAATGCGGGGGTCAAGAATTGACTGCGGGCGTAATGCGGGGATTAGAAATGA